TTTCACTAGCTCCTTCTACTGATTGAGTGTTGTTTTGTCTGAGGCAGAAACACCATGTACTACTAACACTGCCTGGGATTTATTGATCTTTAATGTTACAGCATAGTGGTATTAGGTTACAACTGCTATAATCTCTTGTAATTGTGCAGGGGGAAGCCTTACTCTAGTCTGCCTTTCTCATTTTAGCAACGCAGGCTTAATGTTGCATCTTACAGCCTCATACACCATGCTGCACTGCGTTGTTGATAGGAAGAAATGGCATTTAGTTTATAACACTGGTAGAAACCACCATTGTTAAGAAAATGCCCAATCTCTCTTTAAGTGCTGCAGGTACATCCTTTTTTCTAACTCGGAGGCTATAGAACCAACAGGGAATGTACAGAAATACAAAGTTATCCCTAGTCAGTGGACTACCAAACTAGTGTCCAAAGCTAGGTTACTTTGCTGCTGTCTCCACTAGATTTCAAGCCAGCATCCAAGTGCCCAAGAGCTCCAGTTCTCCAAACATGAAGGTCAAGCAATACCTAGAAAGAGAAGTAGATAAATAGAGCACTTGGCCTTGGACCCATTTGCTTTCAGGTGATGCTAATACTCTACCACTGAAGTGGTGCCTGATCTCTCCCAGGCCTTCATATCTGTACCAGTCTGATCTGAAGCACCTCAAAAGTCAGTTGGATTATTTTCATTAACTTCAATAAACTTTGGATCAGGCCTGAAAAGCTGTTTATAAACCCCTTAGTATTTTTCCCTGATGTGCAGTGCATGATGGGTCCCTCTCCATAGTTCCTTGCCTTTGATTTTCAAGTTCCCTGGGCTTCTTTTCAGCTGGTTGGGATTTAAATGAAAAATAAACTCACGCATATAAATGTGAATGGTAATGAAGGTTCTTGTTAATTGCCGTTGCAGAAATGTGTTAGCATAGTAATTGGATTATGGCTTGTTAGAAAACTTGGGGAAAACTCTCCAAAATTTAATTACTGAAACAGACCCGGAATGCAAGAGCCATTTGTATCATCTTTTGTAATTAAAAATACTGGAAGAGCTCACCCAAGCTGTATAATACTTAATAAAACAGTTTAGCTGGGTTCTGAAGCTCTTGTTTGTGGAAATGGGGTGGGGGTCTGAAGAGAGAAAAGGAACCCCTGGAGTCCTCATTAGCTGGTTTGATCTTTAGGTTAACTATTCAAATGATGCACTCTGATTTCTGCATACAGGGTCCCGGGGAGCCACAGGATGTGTTTTTAAAAGTAGCTGGAGGACCAAGTCCACAGATCAAAAAATTCTTTGTTGCTATTTACACGTAAGTAGGAGAATCCAAAAAGCAAAAGGGAAATAATTATCCAGTGATGACGTGAGAGCAAAGAAGGGAACACACACAGAGCATGCTTAGTGCCCCAATTCCCATTCTTGAGAGTTCTCTAGGAGAAGACTTTTGAATTCACTTGGTAGAGGTCTGGGATTGGGGTGGGAGACTTCAAGAAGACTTGAAAGCCTTCTTAGGCAGGATCCAGTAGAGCCCCTGTGCCTACAACAGCCAAATCTAAATCTCGCACATGTTCTCTGAGAAATTATTTGTTACTGTAGGAGATGTTTCCTTGATGGGCAGAAATAAAAGGGTAAGCTGAAGAAAGCTTGCTTACCTCAATAGCAGTTGTGTGTGCTTGTTTCCCCATAGCAGGGCTCATAGCCCAATTTTGTTGCCCTGTGTACTAGTGAGGAGCCTTCAGGTAGGAAGAAGATTTTCTCCCATTAAAATAATTTCCCTAACTCACTGTGTCCTGCTCTGAAAACGGGTGAGTGTTTTGATGTGTGTGCATCCCTTTTAGCCATTGGGCAACTTGTCAGCTTGATTCATCCTGGAACCTGGGGGATTTTGGAAAGTTTACCCAGAACCTGGCCAATTCTCATGTCTCTTAAGATATGTTTTATTTGCCATCACACGGTTTCTGCAAAGGCCTGCATGCATGTGTGCTGTGTGTAGAGGATGCCAAAAGGACAACCTCCCACTCTATGTGTGCACTTGTTTGTGTCATTCATGCATCTTGGAATGGTCTTCCCTGTAACACCCCCCCCACCTTTCAGACAGATCATCCCAGGAATCTCTTTTCTCTGCTTCAGGGACGCGTGGCTGGCTACTCCCCTCCAGATCTGGCAGTTTTATCTCCACTCACTACAGCGGGTGGACGTCAGCTGTGTGACCGGACAGTTGACTCGCCTGTCTTTGGTACTCAGGGGCACACAGGCGATCAGGAAAGTGAAAGCTTATACCTCTCATGTGCAGGAGCTGAAGGTAAAAGCCACTATGCTCAGAGCAACCTTTTATATTACTGCCTCTTTACCTTCCCAACTGCAAAGAGAAACCAGTGATTCGGAGGAAACTACAGGGAGTGGTAAACTGAAAATATGTGGACTTTTCTCTAGTTAGAATAACTAAGAGATTTTCATTGACAACACCAATGAAAATAACCCATCCAGTATGAAGCAAATCCCATTAGGAATTATGAACAATTTACTACCATAAAGTCTTCGTTATAATTATCTTTTGATTAAAGCCGTCATGTGTAGGATCATTGGTACAAAACCCCAGAGGGCAAATTATCTGAATTAATGAGACTATTTTATGACTAATAATTTCTTTAGAATTCATTTAGTCATAATTATAAATGTGAATAATAAAAGAAACACAAACTCCATTACTAGCCCATCAATTAAAAAAAAAAAATCAATGTTTAAATTCTGTCCTGCTGGCTACAAACTGGGAGAGAAATCCCATTGGCTGAGCCCAGAGCTAATGTCCTTCCCAGAACTGATTTATGGATAGGAGCAGAACACCTTGGATGCATCCAGATGTGCAGGCATGTACAGTTTGTGGGGCCGCAAGCCTCTTTGTGGCACCACAAACTGCATGTCCAGAACATTAAAGCAGGATATCCTGGTAACAAAAAACACCACCGCAAAAAAGTGGCACAGTGCACATGTCCGTAGCGTGCGCCAGAATATGCGGAGGGCTGGTTGTTCAGACTAATGCTTTGGCTGCTGGCCAGGTTCTGTGCCCCTGCATCTGTGCCCCTGCTGCATCAGAACACCAGCTAATACCACTGGGGTCACCATAGTTGCTGACCTCAGCCTGCCGTACCCCTACCCAGGACAATTTGCTGCATGCCGAAGTACACATGCAGAGGTGTGCGATGGAGCACAAAGCAGTGGCATGAATTTGTGTCTCTACAAGCTCGTGTCCCTGCATGTGGAGACATGCCCTTTGAGTTCTTGTTTCACTGGGTCTGGCAGGCAGTTGGGTGAGCTGGTGCTCATAATTAGACAGTGAGTTCCAAGCTTTACTTAGAGGTTACTGTACATCATCCTGCCATGTAGAACTGGCCGCTTTTAAGTGGCCTTTACACTCCTAGCAGTTTGCTCCACCAGTATGAATTAGTTCCAGCCCAAATGTTGAAAGAGTGGCTACTAAATTTGCCTCCATTTTTAGCTGGTTGTCTGGAGACATGTAGCTGAATTTTCAGAAGTGAGGTATATCCTTAGCTCTTACTGCAGCCAGCTGGATTGTGGGTACTCAGTAGCTCCAAAAATCCAGACCTGAGATCCCAAAATTGGCCAACAAACAATAGAGTCCCTCAGAATTAGAGAACACCTTTGGAAGTGCAGGCCTTGCACTTGCATGCAGTGCCTGTGTTAATGCAGGGTTTCTTTTTGATGTGTTATATTGCCTTGGTGAATGCTTTTCATTAAAGATGTACAGATAAGCCCAAGGAGCAGGCTGATAAGCATCTTCATTTCTGAATGTGAAAGCATGCTAATGTGAGGAAATGCTTGTTGGCAGCTGAGGAAAGCTTTAGACCCTGCCAGATAAGGCTCACACACAACTTTCCCAGTAGAATAACCCCCCCCCACCCCGTATTGCTTGTTGCATAGTGCTGCATGGGTTTCTTTTCAGGATAAGAAATCTGTTTGGCATCTAAAATGAAAGTGTCTATTACTTTGACAGTATCCTTTCCACCTTAAGTAGGAAGCTTCAGCTACACAAATAACTTGCCCTTTCCTTCCAGATAATCAGTCTCTTCTCTGCTAATAGATATAGTATCGATAGCACTCATAGAGAAGAGTTTTTATTTTTTTTAGCACCTGGTGCCTTCTTACAAATGCTAGTTAAAAATCCACAAAACAGCACAGCTCTTCTTGCTTAATGGTTGCATGCATGCACTTGTATAATTTATAAAGTAAAAAGGGTGGCTGTGGCAGTAAAATATATCTTACTAAAACCACAATATATTCAGGGACCATCTGCTAGTCTCATAGCATTGAATGCACCAAACATAATTTAAGCTGACAGCACTCTTTGAATAGATCCTTTTTTGATCCTATAATCAAGTAGCCATAGGGCAATAACAAGGGTGAACTTTTTTACCTCAGACATGCAGTTCAGATGTTGATTACAGCATTTTTGTTACTGGAACTCATTCTGTTAGCCAGAGCAGCACAGTTTTAAAATAAAGTTTGCCTCTAATTCATTAATGCAGTTGGCTTTTGTTTCCATGCCAGAAATACACATGATCTCTGTTTTATCAGCTTCTGATTTACATTCCAAATGAGTCTATGGGGGTGCAGGAGACTAACTTTCTCTCTGACTTGATCAAAGGACACCAGTTTAGTGCCTTGAAAAAGTTCTCTCATGGAGCATATATAAGTTCAGGTGAATATCTCCTTCCATCATCTGTCACGCTGTTACTGCTTAATTGTGTATTATACACATGGTGAAGATAACTCTGACCAAAACACCACTGATGCCCATCTCTCCTTTTCATCTGAATGGTCCCTTCATGCATTTGTAATGTAAAACACTAGAGCTAGAATGCTTTATGTTGAGAACTAATTTCCAGGAGCAGAAAGATAGAATATAATTTGGAGGATTCTGATCAAGTCTTTTGATGGTTCCTCCCCTGAGTGGCAGGGAGGCACTGTCTACCCCTTTGGTATTGGGGCCCTGTGACTTGGTCATTGTGCTGAGCTGTGGGCAGATTTGCTCGTGAGCATTTTGCTTGTTTCCTGTAGGTGGACCCAGAAGGCATATTTATTCTCCCTCCACATGGAGTGCAAGATCTGCACATTGGTGTGAGACCTCAGAAAGCTGGCAGCAAATTTATCTACCTCAACCTCGTGGATGTGGAGTACCATCAGCTTGTGTCTTCCTGGCTGGTCTGTGTATCTTGCCGACAGCCTCTCATTTCCAAGGTGCACTGGATCTTATTGTTTAGAGACGTAATTTGCCCTGGACACAATAGGCATTTGTACACATACATGTGCCACAGTGCCAGGCACTTTTAAAAGGCACACTGGTGTGCATGAGAACAGAATTAGGCACATATGTTTTAAATCAAGCACTGATTAGAAACCCTCCCCCAGTCTTAGAAGTGACCTTTTAAAA